CCAGATGACTGTGAAACAAAAACCTGTAACTGTTTTGCGTGATGGTAGGATTGCTGGTTTCTTTTTCTGTCTCATAAACACGCTAGATAACAGGGATATCTTGCTACTCCTACTTACACTTTGGTCACACTTCACAGACACGCACATGCATATATATATACATACATCTAGGTTTTTCTCCTTTTTCTAAATAGCTCTTGTTCTTCTTTATTTCTTCTATTGTCCATGGGGAAGTGGAAAAGAATCTTTCCTCCGTAAGCCATGCGTGTCGTATGAGGTGACTAAAATGCCGGGAGCAATGGGGTACTAACCCCTTCTCCTGTAGACATTTACTAAAAAAGAGAAGAAGAAAAACTTTATAAAACTGGGATGCTTAAATGTGCGTGGATGTAGTGCGGATGACAAGAAACAGATGATTGCTGATGTTATGAATGAAAAGAAGTTGGATGTCCTGGCCCTAGCGAAACAAAGCTGAAGGGGGTAGGAGAGTTTCAGTGGGGGGAAATAAATGGGATTAAATTGGAGTATCTGAGAGAGTTAGAGCAAAGGAAGGGGTAGCAGTAATGTTAAATGATCAGTTATGGAAGGAGAAAAAAAAGAATATGAATGTGTAAATTCAAGAATTATGTGGATTAAAGTAAAGGTTGAATGCGAGAAGTGGGTCATAATAAGCGTGTATGCACCTGGAGAAGAGAGGAATGCAGAGGAGAGAGAGAGATTTTGGGAGATGTTAAGTGAATGTATAGGAGCCTTTGAACCAAGTGAGAGAGTAATTGTGGTAGGGGACCTGAATGCTAAAGTAGGAGAAACTTTTAGAGAGGGTGTGGTAGGTAAGTTTGGGGTGCCAGGTGTAAATGATAATGGGAGCCCTTTGATTGAACTTTGTATAGAAAGGGGTTTAGTTATAGGTAATACAGTGGACCCCCGCATAACGATTACCTCCAAATGCGACCAATTATGTAAGTGTATTTATGTAAGTGCGTTTGTACGTGTATGTTTGGGGGTCTGAAATGGACTAATCTACTTCACAATATTCCTTATGTTAACAAATTCGGTCAGTACTGGCACCTGAACATACTTCTGGAGTGAAAAAATATCGTTAACCGGGGGTCCACTGTACATATTTTAAGAAAAAGAAGATAAATAAGTATACAAGATATGATGTAGAACGAAATGACAGTAGTTTGTTGGATTATGTATTGGTAGATAAAAGACTGTTGAGTAGACTTCAGGATGTACATGTTTATAGAGGGGCCACAGATATATCAGATCACTTTCTAGTTGTAGCTACACTGAGAGTAAAAGGTAGATGGGATACAAGAAGAATAGAAGCATCAGGGAAGAGAGAGGTGAAGGTTTATAAACTAAAAGAGGAGGCAGTTAGGGTAAGATATAAACAGCTATTGGAGGATAGATGGACTAATGAGAGCATAGGCAATGGGGTCGAAGAGGTATGGGGTAGGTTTAAAAATGTAGTGTTAGAGTGTTCAGCAGAAGTTTGTGGTTACAGGAAAGTGGGTGCAGGAGGGAAGAGGAGCGATTGGTGGAATGATTATGTAAAGAGAGTAGTAAGGGAGAAAAAGTTAGCATATGAGAAGTTTTTACAAAGTAGAAGTGATGCAAGGAGGGAAGAGTATATGGAGAAAAAGAGAGAGGTTAAGAGAGTGGTGAAGCAATGTAAAAAGAGAGCAAATGAGAGAGTGGGTGAGATGTTATCAACAAATTTTGTTGAAAATAAGAAAAAGTTTTGGAGTGAGATTAACAAGTTAAGAAAGCCTAGAGAACAAATGGATTTGTCAGTTAAAAATAGGAGAGGAGAGTTATTAAATGGAGAGTTAGAGGTATTGGGAAGATGGAGGGAATATTTTGAGGAATAGTTAAATGTTGATGAAGATAGGGAAGCTGTGATTTCGTGTATAGGGCAAGGAGGAATAACATCTTGTAGGAGTGAGGAAGAGCCAGTTGTGAGTGTGGGGGAAGTTCGTGAGGCAGTAGGTAAAATGAAAGGGGGTAAGGCAGCCAGGATTGATGGGATAAAGATAGAAATGTTAAAAGCAGGTGGGGATATAGTTTTGGAGTGGTTGGTGCAATTATTTAATAAATGTATGGAAGAGGGTAAGGTACCTAGGGATTGGCAGAGAGCTTGCATAGTTCCTTTGTATAAAGGCAAAGGGGATAAAAGAGAGTGCAAAAATTATAGGGGGATAAGTCTGTTGAGTATACCTGGTAAAGTGTATGGTAGAGTTATAATTGAAAGAATTAAGAGTAAGACGGAGAATAGGATAGCAGATGAACAAGGAGGCTTTAGGAAAGGTAGGGGGTGTGTGGACCAGGTGTTTACAGTGAAACATATAAGTGAACAGTATTTAGATAAGGCTAAAGAGGTCTTTGTGGCATTTATGGATTTGGAAAAGGCGTATGACAGGGTGGATAGGGGGCAATGTGGCAGATGTTGCAAGTGTATGGTGTAGGAGGTAGGTTACTGAAAGCAGTGAAGAGTTTTTACGAGGATAGTGAGGCTCAAGTTAGAGTATGTAGGAAAGAGGGAAATTTTTTCCCAGTAAAAGTAGGCCTTAGACAAGGATGTGTGATGTCACCGTGGTTGTTTAATATATTTATAGATGGGGTTGTAAGAGAAGTAAATGCGAGGGTCTTGGCAAGAGGCGTGGAGTTAAAAGATAAAGAATCACACACAAAGTGGGAGTTGTCACAGCTGCTCTTTGCTGATGACACTGTGCTCTTGGGAGATTCTGAAGAGAAGTTGCGGAGATTGGTGGATGAATTTGGTAGGGTGTGCAAAAGAAGAAAATTAAAGGTGAATGCAGGAAAGAGTAAGGTTATGAGGATAACAAAAAGATTAGGTGATGAAAGATTGGATATCAGATTGGAGGGAGAGAGTATGGAGGAGGTGAACGTATTCAGATATTTGGGAGTGGACGTGTCAGCGGATGGGTCTATGAAAGATGAGGTGAATCATAGAATTGATGAGGGAAAAGAGTGAGTGGTGCACTTAGGAGTCTGTGGAGACAAAGAACTTTGTCCTTGGACGCAAAGAGGGGAATGTATGAGAGTATAGTTTTACCAACGCTCTTATATGGGTGTGAAGCATGGGTGATGAATGTTGCAGCGAGGAGAAGGCTGGAGGCAGTGGAGATGTCATGTCTGAGGGCAATGTGTGGTGTGAATATAATGCAGAGAATTCGTAGTTTGGAAGTTAGGAGGAGGTGCGGGATTACCAAAACTGTTGTCCAGAGGGCTGAGGAAGGGTTGTTGAGGTGGTTCGGACATGTAGAGAGAATGGAGCGAAACAGAATGACTTCAAGAGTGTATCAGTCTGCAGTGGAAGGAAGGCGAGGTAGGGGTCGGCCTAGGAAAGGTTGGAGGGAGGGGGTAAAGGAGGTTTTGTGTGCGAGGGGCTTGGACTTCCAGCAGGCATGCATGAGCGTGTTTGATAGGAGTGAATGGAGACAAATGGTTTTTAATACTTGACGTGCTGTTGGAGTGTGAGCAAAGTAACATTTATGAAGGGGTTCAGGGAAACCGGCAGGCCGGACTTGAGTCCTGGAGATAGGAAGTACAGTGCCTGCACTCTGAAGGAGGGGTGTTAATGTTGCAGTTTAAAAACTGTAGTGTAAAGCACCCTTCTGGCAAGACAGTGATGGAGTGAATGATCGTGAAAGTTTTTCTTTTTCGGGCCACCCTGCCTTGGTGGGAATCGGCCAGTGTGATAATAAATAAAAATAGGCCCCTGTACATCAATGCACATGAAAATATTAGTGGAGAGTGAAACACAAGTTTCTAATGCAGTTATTAGCAATGAAGATATGAAATTAATCAGACTTGGTTTTCTCAAGTTATCACACAGACATGAAGTGCCTGAGGAAATGGGATTCCATCATGTTTGATCTAAGCAAGGGGAGGTTAAATCTAACTTCTTGGATCAAGAGCAACTCACCAGCAATAAGAAACCTCTGTAGAGGAGTAAAGTACTGTAGTTAACCTTCCTGAGTGGGAAAGGTGGCAAAGGCAAAAACTGATCTATAACAGTCTTAATAATATAATAATTACAGGCCTGAACTTCATAAAGACACTTAATAGCGGATGACAAACTGAACTATAATCTGTTAAAAACTATACAAATTGACATACATATCAAAGATTATCAACAGTGTTACCATTCTGACTTGGTTCAAGAGCCATACTGAGACAAAATGTACATTTAATGTGGAGGATTATAATGCAGTTTTTGCTCACTGCACTTTTACTATTTTTTTTTTTCAATCTTTCTGTGTATTGTGTACATGATAAGTAAGTCTTGTGTCAGATCATTCCACCAACAACTATAAACAGACCAAATTACACAAAATACTAGGCAGAGAAGAACAACAAGACAGTGTTGGATAAAGCAAAAACTAAATTCATTTTTATTTAATTCCCTCTTAGGTATGCCTTATAAACCATCCAATAGAATAAAAATCCCTCTCTTTTATTTGTTCAATCAGTCTTTTAACTTTTCTTTCTAAGCTTCTCATCTTTATTTCATGGTTGCCTTCCTCAGTCTTTTAGCCTTCACTATATAACTGCAGTGTATTGGAAAACCACTCGTTTTCCTCCCCCCCCCCTTCATCCACACACACTGAGTATAAGACAAAATACACATCAACAACTGCTCTTTTGACCAGTTAATGTGTTGCCTTAGCCTATACTGTTATCATCTGAAACTGCTTTTAGCTATGAAATGCTCCTTGGAAATTTTAAGATCTCTCCTACACTTGACTGGGAGCATAACTTCAAGCTGACAGAAATGGGAGGTAGAAAAATTATAAGTGGCTTTAAATTGATGACTGGTGATGACAGAAGAGAAAGGGAGAAATATGAAGAAAGACAAAAGAAAACAGAATAAGGAAGAAACAATGAGAAAGACATACCAAGCAAAGGCAATTCCACAAAGCACTTATTTACCATGATAGGAAAAGTACTAAACAAAGGCTTATACTTACCTTCCAAAACTTGATGAAATACTGTAAGGTTGTGGCTCCAATAAAAAGGCAGTACAAGAGAGCATAGCCCAAGAAAAGGATGAAGAATTTGTAGTTTGTGAAGGCAACACAGTTGTTGACCCAGGGGCAATGATGGTCCAGTTTTAGGACACACACTCCACACACTGAGCAATGGTGGCATCTGTCCGGCTTGACCTGCACACATTTATCACAGTATCGAATGTCTGAAACAAACGGTAGTTGACCTATGCAGACAAAAATCTGAACCTACAGCTCAATAAATTAAATATGTATTCAAACAAACATTATGGACCAATTAAAATTCAACAAAAAACTCTTTAACAAAAACATTGCAAAACATGTTCTTAGATATCAAAAGAAATATCATTAGTCCTAGCACATTAACTCTTTAAAAATTTTCATTTACGGAGAATTTTATTGTTTTTGTAAACCTTTTCGCTGTCTAGACCCCCAAAATTAATACTGCTCTAAGTGTCCACTTTTCATTGCATTTATGGATTTAGAAAATGCTTCACAAGGTTCCATTTTGCACCCCTGAAGAACCCTTGAAAAAGGTTCATCAGGGTCTGGGGTTTTATTCTGTTTCAGTTGGTCTACTTGTTCAATTAACATATCCCTAGTGACTGTCATATTACATAATTTATCTTCCTAAGGCCCACTATAAAAAATTAATTATTGGGAAAGCATTAGTGTCTTCCTGTGTGAAAACCAAGAAAAATAATTATTAAAAATTGAGCACATTTCCTTCTCCTTGTCAGTAAGATGCCCGGAGCTATTTTTAAGAAGACCTTCCTTTTCTCTAACTTTTGTTCTATAAACCTAGGGAGAACCTTTAGGGTTAGTTTTCAAACTCCTAGCAACTTTAATTTCATAGTCCTGTTTAGCTTTTCTTATCCCCTTTTTAATGTCATTCTTAATGTGAATATATTGATTCATAAGATGACCCCTCACCTCTTTAGATCTGCCTATAAATTCCTTTCTTCTGCCCTAAAAGATATTTGAGCCTACTGTTCATCCATTTCGGGTCATTTCTATTCAATCTACGTAATTTCTTTATATGGAATATATGTTCTTTGGGCAGCATGTACAGTGTTTAAAAAGCTGTCATATTGATAGCTCTCTTCGTTACTCCAGTCCACTGATGATTGGTGTCTCTAAGCCCATGTAATCTGCTAAGTGAAAATCTGGGACCATTACTGAGTTATCCCTACTATCATACTTCCATTTCAGTACTAAAGATAACTGATTTGTGGTTGCTTGCACCAAGTTCCTTTGAAATTTCTAAATTATTAGCAAGGGTTTCCTTGTTTGCCAGAACCAAGTCAAGCAGGTTATTTCCCCTTGTACGTTCTGTAACAAACTGCTTTAAAAAACAGTCCTGAACTACCTCTAAGAAGTCATTAGACTAAATTCCCAATCAAGGAATTCCAATCAATCAGATTTAAGTTAAAATCCCCTAAAATTACAATATTGTGCCTTGTGGCTCTAACAATTTCCTCCCATAGCAGTCTTCCTTGGTCCCTATCCAAGTTTAGGGAATGGTAATGATTTATAGAGAGCTCACATTTGTTTGGTAGAGATTGGTCAAGAGCCACAGATGTAGTAATATTTATATTGTAGTTAAGACTGAATTGTTAATACATGTATTGCTTTTGCCTCTTGTTAGTTAAAGGGTGAATTATTAACATTAATTTTTCCTCCAATAATTTTTAACCAAATACATTCATACTTTGTGTGTGATCACTCTACAAGGTATTATCACAAAGTTCCCATGCTCAAATTTTCATGCACTTCCTGGGTTAAAAATGGAGGCAGTGCAGATCATGCTGCATGGTACACTCCTTTGTGAAGTAGTGTGGCAGGTTTCAGAGTGATCTGCCATTCTGTTGAGGAGATGGTCATTTTTTGGTTGTGTTGTCAGAGTGAGTGAGTGCGAGCATGAACTTGAAGTTGTTTCAAATTCAGTATAACGGCTAATAAAATTCACAAAATGCTTCAGTAAGCACCTGGCGACGAAGCAATGGGTCGGATATAGTTTTTTGGAATGGTTTTCTCAATTCAAAGCAGGAGGAAGTAAGTCACTCTGTCTGACTTTTTTGGGTTATCCTAGGCTCTCTACACATATGCTATGAATGATAATCTATGTAACTGTATTTGTGTATACCTGAATAAGCTTACTTTCTTTATCGAGGATGACAAATGCTGTGATCATCCATCAACATCAAAAACAGAAATTAGCATTAAAAGAGTGATGAAGGTTATCCAGGAAACTGCAAGTAGTGTGGGAATTTCTTATGGGTTGTGTCACAGCATTTTGACTGAAAATTTGAACATGAGGTGACTGACTTCAAAATTTGTGCCCGGTGCCAATTCAAACTCTGACTCTAACTCCTTTAATTCCATTTTACCAACTCCAACTCCAGTAACCCAAGAATTGCTTCTGACTCCGACTCCATGACTCCAGCTCCACAGCCCTGGTTAACCCTTTAACTGTGGGAGACCCTAGTAAAAAAATTCCTGTTTGTGGGAAGATTTTGGGGAAAAAAAAAAAAACTTACAGATTGACAGTTTGTTTTTCTGGATCAAGTAAGACTAAAATGAGCAAAATCTGACAAAAATTTGTGATTTTTATAGTGTGTTGAAGGTGGTGAAAAATGATAACTAACCGGCAACAGTGGCATTAATGTGCCAGTGATGTTTACATTTCACAATTATTAAACTTTCAATTGTTTTAAACCTTCGACTGTTTCGGTCGTATATATACATCTTACGAGCCAATCTGTTTGACGCACTGTATATATACTCAAAAATTCTAGCAGCTTCAAATCAAGTGGGAGAAAGCTAGTAGGCCCATATGTGAGAGAATGGGTCTGTGTGGTCAGTGTGCGCAGTATAAAAAATCCTGCAGCACGCAGTGCATAATGAGAAAAAAAACTGACAGTATTTTTGGATTAAAATGCTGAATTTGAGGTATATTTTTGTATAGTATTTATGGTTGTATTCTCATTTTCTTGGTCTCATTTCATAGAATGGAAGACATGTTATGGAAATAGAGATGATTTTGATTGGTTTCACTATGAAAAGGACCTTCAAATGGAGCTCAAAGTAGCAGAAATGTTCAATTTTTGATGTTCAAAAGTAAACAAATGACATTATTGCCCAATAAATGTCCAACTAGCCATTCTAATACGCAACCACGAGTGGGTTGACATTATTTATATAATTATTACAATAATGCAGGAGTCTGCATAACAGTAAATCTTCTATTTTTTGTGCAAATAAAAATTCAAAATAGAAAGCAAGAGTAATACAAGAGGGGCCTGGAGACGAGACTGATGAACAGAGATAATGTTATTTTAGTGCCAGGAAGGTCTGCATTATTCATTCCGGACTCTATTTTGAAACTAGCATATTTTTTGTGTGAAATTGGCCAAATTGCCAATTTCTGACCACTTTATTGGATAGTTGAAATCGGTAAATGGGCAGTTTCTTGTATTCAATCAATAGAACAAATGGAGTTCGGAAGGAAGGAAGGAAAGGAGGAAGGAAGGAAGGAAGGAAGGAAGGAAGGATGGGAAGGGAAGGAGAGAAGGGAGGGAGGGAGGGAGGGAGGGAGGGAGGGAGGGAGAATAATAGGTAATAATGAGTTCCATTGAAGCATGAAAAACAAAGTCCACCCCTGACAGTGACATGATGAGATAACATCTGATAAGAGCTGACTTTTGATGAGCATACATGAGGGTGGGGGAGGGTGCAGCAGATAGGAGAAGATTAGAGGTGATATTTGATGAGCATCGCCCTCACTTTGTTTACGCTGGCACACAAACATGTCTGTCTATTTGTCTGTCAAGCTCCCTGTCTATCTGTCTATCCGTCTAGCTCTCTGCTCAGAGAGAGCCACAAGACTGTGTCGCCACCTTTACTCGTATCTTCAAGCAGAGTATAGCACTTTGTCTTGATTTTTTGGGTTATCCTAGGTAATTTACACTATGTATACTTGTATTTATGTGTACCTGTGAGACAGAGATAGACAGACAGAAAGAGAGAGACAGATGAAAGAGATACAAGACAGATAGACAGAGACAGACACAGATAGACAGAGGCAGAGACAGAGATAGACAGAGATACAGAGATAGATAGACAGACCCTAAACTTGGGGTAACATCACTTTCCTCTTAAAAGAGGAGTGTTAATATGACATTACATCAGTGAATCCTTGGTGTTTGCAGCACTGTTTGCCCTAGCTGGCACTCAATTTAACTGGCACTCCCACAAGGTACTAAGTGGTCCCAGATTATTTTAATACTGCACACACTGAGTGTTAGGACCCATTCTATGTTGACAAGGCATCGTGCCAAATTTGAAGGCAGGAAAAATAAAACGTATATATACGTTTGGGGCACTACGTGTAAGAACATATATATATGTTTGGACCATTTAAGGGTTAAAGAAACCATATATCTATCATAGGTCAGAACAGAGACATTTGATATCCAAGTTAACATTAGGGCACTTCTGAATCAATAAGCTTCCTCACTCATACCAGTGAGCTGTTCAATATCAACTGCAGTACTGTTTGAATGAAGCACTGCAACAATACTTCCCTTTTTCATAACTATTCCACATGCAATGAAGAGAAGCACTGTCTGAGCAGATTTTAAACTTACTAGTCTGTGAGCAACAGCAAAACTAGATTTGCATACCTGTTTTTATCTATGTACCACACCCTTAGAGTTTAGTTTTCATTGAAGTTTGCCTGAAATGCTGAACAAACTCTTTACTAACAATGTGAATATGTAATCCTTTATGTATTTTTAAAATAAAATTTCTTATTGCCATTATTACTGTATAAATCTCATTAAAATACAGTATACACTTACCACCAGTCATGGTACGGTTATACACAGGAAGGCTGTGCTTCTGGATAAACCTCTCTAAGACATCTCTTCTCACTTCATCTGTCTCCGCTGACTCATAACGATCCAATTCAGTGGGTGGTAATCTAAACTGAATACGAGAAAAAAAAAAAAGGAACATGCATAATATACATGTATAGAGATTTTAATATCTTTTCAATTCCTCTTATGTAAAAAGACAGGGGTTAGATTGGCTAGGTCCAAACACTGTTTAGTGATAAATCCTTCATCAATGCAAATTAAAAGAAATTCAGTTTAAATTAACAAAAAATACTAAAGGGAACAATGAAGCTAGAGGAAGCTTTCTCATATATAACAAACTTGTTTCTGAAGGGATAGCTCCCATTTGGAACATCCTCAGACAATGAAAGTGTGAAGAGGTCTATGTGTAAACACTACAAATTATTATGTTACTAATCATCTCACTCTAGCTGCAAATGGTGATTTCATGTCCTAAATTCATTCTTTACAATTAATGCTGTATAAGATAAATGATATAACCTGCAACAACCCAACCCAATACAGTATTTACAGGTAATGATGACAACCAACATTGTGTGTGTAACCTAATAAAGTCTCTGTGGTAATAAGCTGCTTTTCTGCATGGATATTCCTAACAGACACTAAAGCTAACCATGTGGCTATTTCAAAAAATTGCATTCAATAATAGTAATGTATGTACTTCTTCCCCATTTTGCACAGGGAAGACTTGCAGATGTTTCATTGACACATGCTAAAACCATTTTTTTTTAACACATTAGCTTTCTTCCACTGAGACACTGTGACCAAAAAAGTAGGAAACACCTCATCATCATAGCCCAGCCATTCTAGAAAAAAAATGGCCTTACCTTGAAATAATTCCCTAGTTATATCATCAAATATCAACACCCTTGCATGTTGTGCTACAGCCACCATCTTGGAAAATGGCAGCCACTTCAGAAAAAAAAAAAATTAAAAAAAAAAAAAAAATTATGGTCGGCTAAAAGATAAATATATCTTCGGTCATTACCATTTTTTTACCATAAGCATAATGGAAACAAAGTTACAGCTGATTAAAAAAGCTGCAACTTTTATGCATTTCAATTCTCCATCAAAAAACTACACGATTGTTGAGGGGTAAAAGGTAGGAATTGATTATTAACCCTTTGAGGGTCAGTCACATACTAGTACGTCATTGCAGCCAGGGTCGGTCACGTACTTGTACGTGTAAATTCTAGTGCCTTCAAATCGAGCGGGAGAAAGCTGGTAGGCCTATGTGGTCAGTGTGCACAAAAGGAAAAAATTTGGGCACCCAGTGGTGCACTGTGGGAACACCATTTTAGTTCACCTTGTCCACCATGCCTCACGGTAAGAAGCTCCTCACTCCTCAGCGAATTGGGACTCTTTTGTTCCCAAGTGACAGTTCAAATATGGATGGAAGTGTCAATGAAGATGATTTCCAGGGTTTTGAGGAGTTTTTAACTGAGAATAATGAACATAATAGTGGTAATGGTGATAAAAATCCAGACGACCCTCAAACTTCCACATCTGGTGCTGGGCTGTCTTGTTCACATTCAGTTGCACCAGAACGAAAGAGGAAACTCATATTTTCCGATGCTCAGGACACAGATGTGAGCAGTGGTGATGATAGTGAATATGAGCTCCAAGCTCTTGAAAACAGTTCCAGTAGCGAGAGTGAAGCGAAATATTCTCCAGTGAAGTGTCAGTATATACGACGGTACATGCACTCTGGTAGTGTGCCATATGCTGTTCCAAGGGTACGGAGTACATCACGTGGCCATACAACAGGAACAGATAGTGAAAATGAAGATGATATTGTTACAATGGGGATCATAAATGTGCAGGCATCAGAAGATGGTGGTGGTGGTGGTGCCAGCCATGAGGCGCCAGCAGCAGCCCATTCTGTTACCCACGCTGCTGAGTCAGCTCAGCTACAACAAAAACCACCCTCAGCCACCCACCCACCACACCAAACTCCACAACCACAACCTCACAACTACAACCTCCACAACCACCTGTCAATATCCAGTATCCACCAGCAGACTGCACCTGGGATTGGCAGGAAGCTGCCAATTTTGTTCCCAATACCCATCAGTTTAATGAAAGTCAAAGTGGACTACAGCCATCTTGTACACTTGGGAACAATGCCACTGAACTAGAATGTTTTGAGTTATTCTTTGACAAACCCCTGATGGAAATGATTTTCAGGGAAAGCAACAGATACTACGAGTATACCATGGCAAACACAATTCTTTCACCAAGATCATGGCTACACCAGTGGAAGGAGACAACTGTGGCTGAGATGTATCTTTTGTTTGCTACAATAATGCTTATGCCACATGTGTATAAGCACAGTGTCAAATCATACTGGTCAACAGATTGCGCCATTGCAACCCCAGCTTTCAGTGATATAATACCAGTGAATTGATCTGTGCTACTGTTACGTATGCTACACTTCTCAGACAAAACCAGGCCTGACAGAAAAGACAGGTTATATAAGATTAGAAATGTGTTTATGTATCTGAAACAGAAATTCAATATGTATTTTTATCCCTTCAGGAAGCTTGTTATTGATGAGTCTTTGATTTTGTTCAAAGGCAGACTGTCCTTCAAGCAGTATATACCAAGCAAGAGGAAACTCTTTGGTATAAAGTTGTTTGTACTTTGTGATTGCTACAGTGGTCTTGTATTGGATATTATTGTGTACACTGGAAGTAATACATTGCAAGATAACAGGAAGTTATTGGGTATCTCTGGTGATGTGGTTAGAACAATGATGGAACTATATCTTGGTACGGGGCATATATTATATACTGATAACTGGTACACAAGCCCCTCACTTGGTGATTTTTTTGTGAGTGAATATGACAGATGTGTGTGGTACAGTGTGTGCAAATCGTAAACATATGCCCAGGTTCGAGGCAGGCACTCGTAGAGGTGAGGTGCAGGCGTTTGCTGCCAATGACATCATGACATTTCGGTGGCATGACAAAGAAGATGTCACACTGTCATCATCAGTTCACCAAAACGAAATGACAGACACTGGCAGGCAGCATAGAGAGACCAATGAACCCATTCTAAAACCTGCAGCTGTGATGGACTACACCCTCAATATGCACTCAGTGGGCAAATATGATATGCAAACTGGGTTTGCTGACTGTGTTTGCAAGAGTTATAAGTAGTACATAAAACTCTTTTTTCATCTTGTGGACATTTCTATGCCGAATACTTATAATGTGTACAAGTCGAAGACCAGAAACAAACCACCATATGGTCAATTTTGTTTGTCTGTCATCAGACAAATATTATTCAAGTACCAAGTAACAACACCTGAAATAGAACAACGCCTGCAAACTGATCATCAACTACCCTTCTTGTCTGAGGCCTGGTGATCACTTCCTAATACAACTGCCTACTACTGCTTTGAAGAAAAAGGCTAAGAATAGGTGTTTTGTCTGTGCACATACAAAAAAACACCCACAAAAACACAGACACTCGTTTTATGTGTGAGGAGTGTAAAACACCACTGTGCACGACACTGTGTTTCAAAGAGTTCCCCAGGCTGCAGAACTTCTAGAAACATGTCCAGTGACTGTATATGTGTATATAAAATTTAGAAAAATAGTAATAAACATTTTATATTGTTCGTCTGTGTAAACATGCTTTGTAAACAATATAATGACAACAGTGTTTGTGCAGTTATTGTGTAGTATAGAAAAAGTAAATATACACATACAAAATAGTGTTCATACTGGTCTCACAGGCCATAAAAGTTACTTGAAAAGAAAAAATATAAAAAATAATAGAAAAAGTAGAAAAAACAAAATAAATGATTACCGGTGACCGGCAGTCAGCGATGTTGCCATATGCGGTTCAATTTCTGTCAATTTCGTGCCTCCATATCTCGGTAAGTATTGATGGCAAAAAATTATTTTAGCGTATAATTTTTTTTTTCGAATATTTTTCAACCCTGAGAACAAGTCTGGGAGAGGGCCTGTCGACCCTCAAAGGGTTAACCCATACCCTATTCGCATGAGAAACTTCTTACAACCAAACTGTTTATTTTTTCCTCCCCTCCATGAAGAATGAGGCATAACACCTCTGGTCCTACCTTCCTTTAACTGGTGCATAGAAGGAATAAATTGGAAAATGAAATGCATTATGGAAGCATGAAACTAGGAATTTATTGCATAAAATATAAAACTCATTGAATTTACAATATAACACTGATATTATTTATCTTCTATCAAGTGCTGAAGTATGAGAGACAAGCAAAAAATAAACAAAAATTTCTTATGCTTTATTTTACTTTTCTGTATGGTTTTTATTTGGTTTTCATTAACATAGTTCATCATCATGATTAAGTGTTTTCACATGATCTTCCTTCATAGGGGCCACACACCAGTGAATATACAAAACCTGCTGTCTTGCAATAACAAATCTTGCAAAAAAAAACTTGCAATGCAAGAAATTAAATGAAACAGTGTCAGGTGCTGGGAGCAGAGTTGTAGGTACAGGGTTAAGCAAGTTTCCTTCAAGACTAGAGTCCCATTTGCATGGGTTAAGGTCATGTCCTAACCTCTGCTGGACCTAAACTCGATAGGAATGCTGAACAGGATCTGCTGTTGTGAGAGGAAGTGTGGCCACATCAAAGTTTGACTGGAGTTTTGTCGTTTGTTGATTGTATAAATTAATAAAGCAGTGACACTTCTACACAGTATGGCTCCTGCATTTGAACTGACCTAATCTGGTTTAACCCTTGGTCAATAATGCCCAATGGCTGTAAGAGTCGTATTTGAATATTCCATATATAGACAAGAGTTAACGATAAACATACAAAGGGTTACTCACTGATACATTACTGACAGATTGACATGCATTCAAGGACTGTTTTTTAGATGATCCATACAGTGCCAGATGAATTCCTCACTGGCTTTAGGTGACAGTCTTAGCTGCAATTATGTGATTAAATGTTCTTGTTTCAACCCTTAACTGCTCATTCTTCCTTTTTGGAAAATACTGGATGTTGTATCATATCTAGCCACAGCACGTAAGACAAGAAGCACCTCTTTTGTGCATTTGTGAATTTCC